CGAAAAACAGCATCGCAAGCGTGAGAAAAACCGTTACGGAAATAGTAAATGTCAAATACTTGAGTTTTGTTCTTATAATTTACAACCCTCCAAAATTCTCGTTGAGTAAACACTTTCCTCGAAAATCCAAAATTTAGAGAAGAAAATAAATTTAACGGTTACGGTCCCATGTTGTAAAATCTCAGTTCTGGTTATTTCGAAAGTTTCTCTGTTTCATGTGACCAACATGTGTGGGCTCTCCTTTGTTCATTGTTTCGCTAGGCTGAGGGCCTGAGACCCTTCGCGACGAAGTTTCACGACGTCACACGCTCCCCTTCTTCCCCTTTTTTCATTTCCCCGCTTTTCCTTGAGTTTCACTTTTCCCTCTCCCCTGAGCCAGAATTGCGCGCGCAACTTTTGGTCCAGTGGGGTTGCGGACCCAACCCTTGGAGTTAAGTTTAAGTTTAAGTCAGTTCCATCGTGGAAATTCGTGGTGAAGCCTTCAGCTTCCAGCTTCTCTCTTCAAATAGTTTTTTTAGTAGAGTTTTTCTAGAGTTTATTAAATTCATTCTTTGTAGTGCAAAGTTTAAAGTCTGAAGTTGAAGTATTTTGAATAAAAGTGTTTGTGTGCTCTCTTAAGCACTTGTGTTGAATTTATTTCACAATTCACCCCTTCCAACCAAATATTCTGGGATTAAACAATTGGATTTCTATGGAGTGCTCATCAGAACTTTGGCGGCGAACGAATCTACAGTCAAAATTGGCGCTCTAAATTCCATTGGCCTACTGTCCTCCTAGTTACTTCGGTAGGACATAACACCAGTGTTATGTCCTACCGATGTTACTAGGAGGACAGTAGCGCCGGTGATTTTATTTCAGCGCCAAAACTTGAATCTGGATCCGTTAGCCGCTAAACCTCTGAAGAGGACTCCATCGAAGACGACTCGTTGATAATCAGGATAATTGGATTAGGGTTAATTCGTTGAAATAAATCCAGTACACAAGTGCTTAGGAGAGCACATCAAAACTTTATTCCACTACTTCAACTTTTCTTCAACTTCACCGTGATAACATTAACTTTAGAAAACTCTATATTAATAACTTTGAACTCAAGAAAAACTAATTTGAAGAGAGAAGCTGGAGGTTCGCTATATCGAACAGCCACGGTGGGACTGACTTAATCTTAAACTTATTTCTAAGGGTTGGGTCCAACAACCCCCACTTAACGAAAAGTTGCGCACGCAAGCTTTTAACTGAAGCCAAGGCAAAAGTCAAGGCGCAAAAGAAAATAGGGAAAGGGAAAAAGGGGCAAAAGGAGCTGAGGAGAGCGTGTGACGTCACGTTCTGCGTCTTGGGAGGGTCTCAGGCCCTCAGCCTGGCAATACAATGAACAAAGGAGAGCACACGTGTTGGAATAGAGAAAATTTATGATACACAGAACGGAGATTTTATGACTCTAACTGTCATTCTGTTGAGTGAGTATTTTTCTTTCGAGATTTGGGTTTTCGGAAAATGTTTACGTGACGAATTTCAAGAGTTGTAAATAATTGAAACAAAGCTCAAGTGTTTGACATTTATGTTTTCTGTAACGGTTTTTCTCACGCCCGTGAAGTTATTTCTCTTCCCTTGTTCATTGTGCTGTGTTCTTTCTTTTATTATTTCTCATATTTTATTTTGAATTTAATTAATTATTCGATTAATTTGAATCTCGCGGACTATTACCGTTAATAAAAAGCGCCATCTATAAACTTGGACCTCAGGACATCACACCAGAGATTATAGGGGAGATCAGCAGGGCCAATGTAAAGTGTTCAACAGCAATATTCGTAGCGGTGGCCCATGGACTACGATGGAGCGTACGGAATTGTTGGTATGGTAGGGCCCGAGCATAAATTTGTCGATAACCGGAAAGGGGTTCTCAATACGGTAGCTCCTCGCATTTTGTAATAATTGTCAGGAATGTAAAATCGAACATATTATAATCAATGACCCTGAAGTTTGCAGACAAAAATCTTCAACAGAGCATATCTGGTGAAGAAATTGAACAATTGGAAAATTTCAAGTTCATTTTGTCGGGCGTGACGAAATCTAATCGTGATGGTGGCTAAATATCTGAATAAATAAATTACGGGTTGATTTATTCGAAATTTAACTATAGAAAACCATTGACACGGCATATCTCACCTCGGAGTTATTTTATTGGAAAAAAAAACATGGTCACGATTTTCATTCTACGAAATTTAGACGTCATTTTTGTCCTTTTTTTTTCTAGTCTTATCGGTCAACGTTAAATCCGCTGGAGAACACTAAATCTTTGGCAAGCTTCATTATTCATCCAAATGATCCGACCGAAAAAAGAAAAAGCATCACGTTTGAAAAAATTATAAATCTTGTCGTGATGTTTCTTGTTTTTTGTAATAAATGTTTCATTAATGATATACGCCATGTTTTTCACGAGGGAAAACATCAACAGAGGATATCTGCGAGGAAGATAAGTAGACTAGGACAAAAAACAAATGAAACGTTGGATTGCAATAAAACTAAAACGTGAATTTTTTTTTCAATTTCTCTTCGTTATTTCCATGAAAAATAGTAGAATTACGAAAATAAATACGTTTAACATCGGATATCTGCTATACGAACAATGATGTTGAAAGGAAAAAAAATCACACTTCACATTCTTTCCCAATTGTTACGTGATATTCGTTGCTTTGCTTCTAATTATTATTCTCAGGGATCTACAATGGATGCTATAGTCATGACGCTGAATTTCTTATATCTAATCGTTTAGTGTATTTTGCGAGGAAATAGCAAAGAAATATGTCGCAGAGAAGAAAGAGTTAGCTCTAGAAACTCTAGTCACAAGAGGATGGGCAAATTGTACAAGGGTGACAAAAATCACGAGGATTACGAGGATCACAAGGTGATGGTTAAAAATCGGGACGATTACAAGGGTCACAAGGGAATGGTCAAATTTTGCAAGACTCAAACATCACAAGAGTCACCAGGAAATAGTCAAATTTCACGAGGGTCACAAGGAGATGGTCAAATTTCACAAGGGTTACGAGGGTCACAAGAGGGTACTCAAATTTATCGAGGGCCAAACATCACGAGGGTCACTAGGGGATAGTCAAATTTTACAAGAATCAAACATCACGAGGATCACGAGGGGATGGTCAAATTTTACGGGGGTCAAATATCCTGAGGGAAATTCTCGGGTTTTCTAGAAAATTCGAGAAAATCCTTCAATTTTCTAGAAAACTCAAGAAAACTGTCCAGTTTTTCCAAAACCGGAAAATTCGAGAAAACTACGGTTTTACTGGAAATTTGAGGAACTTTCTTGGTTGTCGAAAAAACTACGATTTTCTAGAAAATTTGAGAAAATGCTCGGACTTTCTCAAACATTTGCACATTATTTTTATCATTCTTTTTCATCACGCTGTGTGTAAAGTGACATTTTACGCACGCTCCGCGTGCGCAAACCACTTCCCACACATTGTGGTGAAAAATAGGGTTCGATACTCGCGGGAAAAGTGTTTTTAGACTCGTGGAATCATATCACTCGCTTTCGGCTCGTGGTATAAATCTCCCACGAGTCCGATAACACTTTCCCGCAATCGTATCGAAATATACTATTTGCCTTCACATTTCTCTGAGACTATATTTCTCGTAAGATTTCCAACGTAATTNATTTGCCTTCACATTTCTCTGAGACTATATTTCTCGTCAGATTTACAACGTAATGACTAAATTTCACGAGTATTGAATGTGACACCCTTGTGACTCTCGTGATGGCCGTGAAGTTTGACCATCCCTTTGTGACCCTCGTGAAATTTAACCATTCCCTTGTGACCCACATGTCTCTCGTGAAGTTTGGCCATTCCCTTGTGACCTACGTGACCCTCGTGATGTTTGACTATCCCGTTGAGACCCTCGTGATGTGTGACCCTCGGAAAATTTAACCATCCTCTAAAGACTCTCGTGCTGTTTGACCCTCGTGAAATTTGACCAGCCCCTTGTTACTCTCGTGATCCCCGTGAAATTTGACCATCCTCCTGTGACCTTTGATGAAGTTTGACCATCTCTTTGTGACTTTTTGAAGAAAAATTATTTTTCCTATTTTCTAAGTTTTACACTCACGAGACTGAGACGATATTCTCGTAACCGAGACCGAAACAATACTGGAAATTTGGATATTTTTCGAGACCTAGACGAGACTGACGAAAGTCTCATCTCGTGCGCAGCCCTAAAAAGAAGAAACTCACGGGAGAGTTTTCAAGAATAACATGTATAAATGTCGATCTTTAAAGAATATAATCATTTTTGTAGAAGATATCCGATGTTGATCGTATTTATTTTCGTAATTCCATCATTTTTGATGGAAATATCGAAGAGAAATCAAAAAAAAAAATTTTACGTCAAGTTTTTATTGTAATCCGTTTCATTTTTTTTGTCCCAATCTGCGTATCTTCCTCGTAGACATCCTCTGTTGATGTTTTCCCTCGTGAAAAACATTGCATATATCATTAATGAAACATTTATTACAAAAAACAAGAAACATCACGAGAAGATTTATAATTTCTTCAAACGTGATGCTTTTTCTTTTTTCGATCGGATCATTTGGATGAATAATGGAGCTTGCCAAAGATTTAGTATTCTACAGCGGATTTAACATTAACCGATAGGACCAGAAAAAAAGGACAAAAATCACGTCGAAATTTCGTAGAATGAAAATCGTGACCATGTTTTTGTTTCAATAAAATAATTGCGGAGTGAGATATGCCATGTCAATGGTTTTCCATAGTTGAATTTTGAAGAAATCAACCCCTAATTTATTTATTTACATATTCAGTCACCATCACGATTAGACTTTGTCACGCCCGACAAATTGAAATTTGAAATTTTCTCATTGCTCAATTTCTTCATCAGATATGCTCTGTTAAATATTTTTGTCTGCAAACTTTAGGGTCATGTGAGAAGGCTGTGTGTAACTGAGTGAGGTAAACTTGCAAGCATCATTTTCAATAAATGCTTGTCAATTTTTCTCTGATTTTGATAGCACTTTTTTTGGGGAGAACAATTGATAATTATTTCTACATTCTCTCTACTTCCAAAGTAAAATTGTTAGTCTCCACGAGTATTCCCTGTTTCACACCAATCACTAGTCCATATTATAAGTTATTTCATTCCTGCACAGGTAATAATTAGAGATGCGCATTCTTTTTGGATCAATGCCAGGAAATCTTCAAGCATTACACCCTCCAATAGACTGAATAATTTTGGTCTCCATATAATTCCCATCAACACAGATACAATTGATGATTTATTAAAATGAAAGGGATTATGAAGAGGTTTGAGAGTAGAATACTGGTGTTAAGAAGGTCTCGAGTCCTGTGCAAAAGGAGTAACGATTATACACTGAACCTCAAGGAGACTCAATTGACATGGGCAGCTCTCTATCAGATCGCTATATATCAGTCTCAATGGATCTACAACTGTCTCAAGGGACCCGAGGGGTTAATGATTCACCGACACAGCGATGAGCATGCCCTACTTGAGTTTCATCTTGCTCCAGAGATAAATGTCTTTGTTTTGTTGAGGACTTTGATTGATGAAACCGTGGATTCCCGAATCGAGCGGAACCTGATGGGGAACTCTGCAGGGTTTAAAAAGCGAACAACAGCTGAAGGGACAGTAGGAGAATGGGCCCTACAGTTCTACTACAAATGGTTATTGTACTTTCAAAATGAATTGTTCGTATCAGTTTCGATGAATTTTCAGTTTTGCTATCAATATAAAAGAAAAGCAGCGAAAACTATCGACATTCTGTCCTGACAATCCATCATTGAGGCGCTTTGGATTCAAGCGCTTGCAGGATACGCTAAAGTATTATCCAAAACTCTGGAATGTGAAATGTCCTTGTGGAGCAGTCAGGCGTGAGGAAAATGTTTCTAATTGTCATGTATATCTGGAGCTAGATTACAGAGAGAGAGCAACCGATCCTGATCGTACTTGCAAGCTCTACGATCTGCCTACATCTTTGAACTTGAGCAGAGAATACAGGTATGATGCAGTTTCTGACTGATTCATTTGACTTCTCTCACCTTGAGAATTCATATATTTAACGATTCAATGGAACAATTATTATTTTCAGATTAGCTGGAGTCGTCTCATACGATGCGACCTATGATCATTTCGTGGCCTACTGTTGCCGTCGTACTGGAACGTGGGAGTACCATGATGGACTACTCAGTAAAGTAAAACCTGTGAAAGGAAATCCGGTGATACAACCTGAATGTGCCTTGTATCTGATTAATCAGTGAGCAGGAACGTTCACTACGCTCAACATTTCAGTTTTCTGTGTCGCCAAAGCTAGTTCTTTATCTTAAGTATATTAGTTATAATATGATTCTTATCGAATGTTATTTGCTGAAATAAAGATTTTATTGAAAAAATTCAGGAAGACGAGAGATAGTGAACCAAGAGTAAATGGTTTTTAGTTTGATTGTTTTAATACAAACTCTCATGTTTGAACATTATTTCGTGATGAAAGTAAACTGTAAATAGAACAATATAAAAGACTGTTGTTGTACCTGCAACGCAAAGCCTCTCCCCCCAAACAATACAGCTTATATGCATAATTTACATCTTTTCTCTTTAGTTCTTTCATGAATTCATTATCAAATACGTAGTACTGTAATTATTGGAAGTTTCTTGAGAAGGAAAAGTTTGATTTAGGAGAATTACGTGCAAGAAAATTATTAGGAGTGAAATAACACATTCTGTTGATTCAAATGTTTCATAAAATTTCTTTATTCAAAACAGCGATGAGATACGGAAAGTGGATGGAAAATCACTTACGTATTTTTTTTCTTGAAGGATGATAAGATTTCGGAATTATATCAAATTATGATGTTACAATGCTACGTATTTCTGTATTTTTGCAAAACGCTATCATATGTTGTCATTCTTAATCGCTCATCACTTCATAGTTCTCAATTATTCTTCGAAATAAGAAACACGTGTCCTCTCATGAAGTAGGCACAGTTCCCAGCAAAAAAATGTCTTCTCGTAACCCTAATTGAATCAGAATTTCTTTGCCCATTTTTGACGTGGAAAAATAAAAAAAAGATCGAAAAACATGTACAAATGATGGAATACGAAAAAATACGAAAACATCATACAAGCTTCCACCTTTTTATACTATTTGATGATAAAAGTGAACTGGAATTAAAACAATATAAAAAAACTGGTTCCATACCTACAGCACTAATTCTTTTGCTCCAGGGGATGTAGTTTGCATGCACGATTTACGTTTCTTTTCCTTCAATCTAAATTTTCTTCGTGAATGCAACTGAACATCTAGGACCACAGTTATGAGAAGTTGTGATGCCTGGTTTACGTGAAACAAATTATCAACAGGTGGTGATATGATACATCCCACTAATTGTGTCCTAGCATGGAATTCCTTTATCGAATGGAACAATAAAGACCGAAAAATTCGATGGCAAATAACATTAATGTTTTCTGTAGCTTGAAAAATGATAGAAAATCAAGAAGTTATATCAAATTTTGGGAACATCTGCATTTATTATTATATTCAATGATTGAGAAATTCCATGCAAAAATTCCAGTGATCCAATTATTTCGATATTGTATTCACTTTAGAATAGAACGTTCATAGTTCTTCTATGAACGAGCGACAATTTTCTACTAACTATTTCCCTTCGTGACCCTCACAATCAAGTTTGCCTGTTCATTTTTTACACATGAGCTAACCTTCTTTCATTCGATGAAATATAAAAGATTTATGAGATCTGTACGAATCTTCAGAATTATTAAGTTAATTAAAAAAATGAAACTTAGGAAAACTGAAGAATTATTTCATTTAGACACATAATTTCAAGACACACTTCTTTTATTATTTTAAATATTCTAATTTTTTCGATGATAAACTGATTATCGACTATATTGCATTCATTAAGTGCAATCGGCAGTTCCTTATAGTGTATTTCAATGGTAATAATTAGCTTCCCGAAATGGGAGTAATTTGATCTTGGCTTGGACACAAATTTTCATATATTGAAATTAATTTGTCAAGAGAAGTCGTACAATAGGTTGATCTCATATGGTGAACACATGTATGCATCGTTTCAAATCTTTTTCTCCCATTTCTTGTTGAATCATACGATAAGTAACAAATACAAAACTCTGTATTTCTCACTGCTTTTTCTTTGCGTTAGACTCTTCCATGCATCTTAACTTTGGGCATGTCTATCGTTGCAGTTTTGTCTCGAATTGAAAAGCGCCTAGGTCTAAGGAGCGTCACTCGTTACCAGATTTGATTTTATTGCTGACTGTATTGCCCTCAGTGGGTCTTGAAGTCTTGAGGGGGAGGTACAGCAGTAGATAACGAATCTTGGAATTTTTTTCGCTGGGTGGAGAAACATCCGTTGGATCCAGTTTCGTTAGCTCACTGGAGAAATCGATGGAACACTTCGATTTCCCACAGAAATTTGAAAAAAAAAAAATTCAAATAAAATTAGAATTTAGAGAGAAAAAATCCCGATTCGCCCAGCCGGGATTCGAACCCGGGTCTCCCAGTTACGCGCCGGGCACTCTTCCCACTAAGCTACCGGGAACCACGGAAACTCTCTCACTCCAAATTCAAATCAACATTAAATAAATTCAAATAGAGAGATCACAGCAGGATGAGAATTGAAATATTTTTGGGCTTTTCTGTTTTTTCTACTGCCTTCTATGTCCTGGGTGTATTTCATAGCGTCACCGATGATTTCTGGCTTTCGTAAAGGATCTGAGGATTACCATTGGGGTAGTGCTTGATCCGAAGTAGCTCCTTTCCTCCCTGCAAAAGAGACTTTTTTGTGAGTGTCTTCAGACTGTTGTGAGGCAGTTCTCAATTTCTTTCTGCGACAGCATTGAAATTCTTCTTGGGGAGAGCACTGATACGTCGTTTATACTTTGACACTCCGAGAGACATTGATTCTCGATTGGGGAATGTTCGAACACCTACCACAGATACATTTGAGTACATAATAAAGTATCTAAGTGCCTCGATACTCTTCTTCAACTTGAAAACGTAATAAGACGAAGAGTTATGACTATGGGTTCTTCTGTGAGAGCTGACGCTCGATAATCCACTATTGCATGAGACTAATGGTCATGCTGGGACATTCTGCTGCATCAGAAATCGATGAATGATTTACCTGCAATGAAATGATGAACTGAAAACATGACGTCGATGTGAAATGCGAATTGACTTTGGAAGTAGAGAGGATGTAGAAATAATTATCAATTGTTCTCCCCAAAAAAAGTGCTATCAAAATCAGAGAAAAATTGACAAGCATTTATTGAAAATGATGCTTGCAAGCTTACCTCACTCAATTACACACAGCCTTCGCACAGGGTTTGAGTGATTGTCAATGCTTTTGATCGAAGATTATTGCAGGAATGTTCCTTTTAACAATCTTTCAGAAAACATAACCTCTTTCGAGCTGTCAGAATCTTCGGGGCTAATGATCTCCCTTATGCCTATGTCCCGTCGCACAATGCAGATATGTATTTCTATTTCCCACACAGGTACAAATAAGATGATTAATCCTTCATGAACAATTATGTTGTTCAATTTAATGTTTTTTTTTCATGAAAAAATGAACTAATATTGTAAACACACATGCAAACAGAGAGAATAAAACGCCAAGGTCGATAATACAGGAACCATCAATGCTTTGCTGGGGGTGGGGTTAGATCATAATTGTTCACCTCAACCTAATTAACAATGATTGCACAAACAATAAAAACATGAAATTCGTAATGTACAAACGATTTCCTTCGCAATTGACCCATAATTTAGCACAATTAAGCAATGTACAGTTTTTTCCGGCTACNAGGCGCATGCATAGGGTTGGATAGGGCCGATTAGCCAATCAGAGGGCAGACAGGGCCGGAATATAAAAAAAAAAAAATTAACCCTCTTTCANCAATGATTGCACAAACAATAAAAACATGAAATTCGTAATGTACAAACGATTTCCTTCGCAATTGACCCATAATTTAGCACAATTAAGCAATGTACAGTTTTTTCCGGCTACCATCATGCCAAAACTTGATTAATTTTTTTAAATTAATGAGTGAATGTACAAACAAAAATTTGCATTGTACAACCATGTACTAACGATGTACAATCGAGTACATAAGATCGTTTTTCTAATTAGTGACCTATTCCGGCTAAGTACCTGGGGGTNGGTTGGATAGGGCCGATTAGCCAATCAGAGGGCAGACAGGGCCGGAATATAAAAAAAAAAAAATTAACCCTCTTTCATTCGTTAATCTCTGTAAAAAATGGAAGAAACTGTCATGAAAATCACAGCGCAGTAAGAAAAATAATTGTTTTGGGCGCACAATGACTCCCNGCTAATTAATATTAAGGAATGAAACACAAACGGTGTGATGGAGAATTAAATTCCCCATCAATCGATCCCCGTTGCATCCCTTAATCTCTGAGAAAAATAATTTTCTTCCCGGCGCACAGTGACTTTCTACCATTCGCTCGCGAATTACAAATTTGTCTCTTCCCCGAAAAACAGGCTGCTTGACGGAGAACTAAACTACCCATCAATTAACCCTCTTTCATCCCTTACTCTCCGTAAAAAATGGAAGAAATTGTCATGAAAATCACAGCGCAGTAAGAAAAATAATTATTTTGCGGCGCACAGTGACTCCCGGTAATTAAAAATTC